ATATATTAAATTTAATGTCATTTTTTGTAATGTGTAACTATTCTTGTATCTCTAATATAAATACGACTTGCAGAGGAGGAATTGTATCTTTGGTGGATGTCTATAGACTGAAAGGAATGTATTTAATTTTGATAGATATTTATTAATATTATTAAAATATATCACCTGTGTTTTATGCTTCTCTAATTTGGGTATTGACAATGTGTCTGGTAATGTATCTGGTAATACCCTTTCTAAATTCTTGAGAGTAATGACTGTAGTATTGATACTAATTTTTTTAAAGGTTCATAAAATTCTCCTATGAATCCATCAGAAGCAAGAGTTGCCCTTCCTTAGATTGTTCCTTTACAATTAGTTCAATTTCCTCATATGCTATTGGATTATTTAAGATCTTTATCTGGTCTTCTGATAGTCTGTGTATTTAATATATTTGTAATAATTCTTCACATTTCAGTCTCTGTGAATCCACTGAAAGAAAGGAATTTTTTTGGAACAACAATGCATTGTTGGTGGAGTTGTGAAATGATCCAACCATTTTGGAGAGCAATTTGGAACTATGCCCAAAGGGCTATAAAAATGTGCCTACCCTTTGAGCCAGCAATAGCACTTCCAGGTCTATATCCCAAAGAGAGCATAAAAATGGGGAAAGAACCCCAGTGTACAAAAATGTTTATAGCAGCTATTTCTGTGGTAGCAAATAATTAAAATTGAGGGGGTGCCCATCAATTGGGGAATGGCTAAACAACTTGTGGTATACGAATGTAATGGAATATTATTGTGCTATAAGAAATTGATTAGCAAGTGGACTTCAGAAAAACCTGAAAAGACTTGTTTGGACTGATGCTGAGTGAAGTGAACAAAACCAGGAGAATGTCATACACAATAACAGCCACGTTGTGCGATGACTAACTTTGATAGACTGAGCTCTTCTCATCAATGCAAGGATCCAAGACAACTCCAAAAGTCTCAGGATGGAAAATGCTATCCCCATCCAGAGAAAGAATTATGGAGTTTGAATGCAGATCAAAGCATACTATTTGCTCTTTTTTTTTCTTCTGTTTGGTTCTGTTTCTTCTTTGTTGTGGTTCCTCCTAATGGATCTAATTTTTCTTTACAACATGACTAAGAAGATAATATGTGTAATAGGAATGTACACGTAGAGCTTATATCAGATTGCACACCATCTTGGGGAGGGAGTTAGGTACGGAGAGGGAGAAAATTTAAAACTCAAAAACTTATGGAAGTGATTGTTGAAAACTAAAAATTTATTAATTAATTGGAAAAAAAGAAGAAGAAAAACAAAGGAATTTTTTTCCCTTAATTTGCAACATCCCTGTTATTAAGTAATGCATTATCTCAGACATCTTTCTTTTTTTTCTATTGATACATTCTTTATTCGAAACAGATGATACTTAGCAGATGAGAAAGACAGCAAACTCTACTACATAGAATAGTAAATCTTGTAATATCTTTTTCAATTATTTAATTCCCTAACTGTATCTTCATCTCCCATACTTAGAATAGAGCTGATGACAACCATCTACTTCAATGAGAAGACAGAGACCATTTAACACGAGTTACATCCTCAACCAATCAACCAACAATTATTAAGAGCCTAGTAGTCCTTGTTTGGGTCTTGACAGCTCAGAGTGAATGTAAATAGCAATTGTTTCTGTTTTGGCCAGAAACCGGAGGGATTTTTTTTTGACTAGGTAAAAGAGGCCATGCTTTGCCTCATTTCTTTGTGTTTTTTTTATGTTTTATTAAATTCACTAATTTTTAGTTTTCAACATTCACTTCCACAAGATTTTGAGTTCCAAATTTTCTCCCCATCTCATCCCTACCCCCACCCCAAGATGGCATGCATTCTGAATACCCCTTCCCCTAATCTTCCCTCCCTTCTATCTCTCTCCCCCTTCTCTTATTCCCA